TTTGATTTTTAGTCCATTTTTGTCTTTATCTCTAATGTGTGTCTCTGGTAGACAGCATATTGATGGGTTTTGTTTTCTTACCAATTTGCAACTTGCCGTCTCTTGAGTGGTGCATTTAATCTATTAACATTCAATGTAATTATTGACAAGTATGAATTTGTTGCTGTAGTGTTGTTATGTGTTTTTTCATGGTGTCCCTGGTTTCTTTGTTCCATATTATTTTCTGTGCTGAGCTCATTGTGTTTATGAATCGTGTTATCATTTCCTTTGTTGCTGTTGTTTTAGTATTTACTGGATATTTTTGCTGGCCCTCTTTTTTATTGTGATGTGAAGGTTTATGATTTTTCTTTGAGGTTATGCTGTGATTTACAGTTTTTCCCCAAGATTAGAACAGTCCATTCTGTTTTGCAGCTCTCTTACTTCCTCACCATTTAGAAGCTGTATAACTACACAGTATTTTCCCTCTTTTTGGTTTGTAGTTGTCCTCCATTGCCAATTGATGTCTCTGGTTCCCTATTTACAATCTTGTAAGCTTATTTTACTTTGGATGTGTTCATAGCTGTGGTTTCTGGGTTATGTCATCTTGTGTATTAATGATCGATTGTTAATTGCTATTTTGGGTCTCTGTTCAAAGGAGTCCCTTTAGTATCCCTTGTAAGGTTGGTCTGGTTTTAACAAATTCCCTTAGTTTCTGCTAATCTGGAAACCTCCTAATTTCACCATCATATTTGAGGGACAGTTTTGCCAGGTATATAATTCTTGGTTTAAATTTTTTCTCTTTTGGGGTTTTATATATACCATCCCATTCCCTTCTCGCTTGCATGGTTTCTACTGAGAAATCAGAGCTTGTTCTTACTGGTTGTCCTTTGTAAGTGACTTCTTGTTTTTCCCATGCTGCTTTCAGGATTCTTTCTTTGTCTTTGGTTTTGATGAGTTTGATGATGATAAGTCTTGGTTATTTTCTTTTGGGGTGTATCCTGTTTTGGGTTCATTGGACTTCCTAAACGGATATATTATCATCTTTCATCATTTCAGGGAAGTTCTCTGAAATGTTGGACAATTTTCTCAGTGGTTTTATTTTTCTCTTCCTCTTCTGGAATTCCAATGGCATGTAGGTTATTCCTTTTGATGGTATCCCACGTGAACCTTGTTGTTGTGTTGTTATGTGCCGTCGAGTCAGACCTGACTCATAGCGACCCCTTCTTGGGTTTCTGAGGCAGTATCACTACAGAAGTAGATTGCTTCATCTTCCTTCTGAGGAGTGGCTCGTGAGTTTGAACTGCCAGCCTTCTGGTTAACAGTCAAGTGCCTTAGCCACTATGCTACCAGAGCTCCCACATAAACCTTAGGCTTTCTTCATTTTGTTTTGATATTTTTTCTGATTGATCCCTTTCCAAAGAAATATTCAGGTATTTTGTCTTCAGTCTCATGAATCCTGTCTTCCATTGCATCAATTCTACTCCTTTGCCCTTCCAATATGTTATATATTTCTGACAATTTAGTATTAATCTTCTGGATTTCTATCTGTAGATTTAGAATAATTTCTAATTCATTTTGTCATTTTGTTAGTGTATTTTCTTCCAAAATTCTTCTGGGGTTTTTTCTGTGTTTTTTTTGGTCTGCCTCTCAATCCTTTGAAGATACCTAAACATAATTCTTTTGAATTCCTTATCAGAGAGTTCCAATGCTGCTTCTTCCTCAGGGATGTGTTCTGGGTCTGTATCCTGCTTCCTTGTTTCTACTACTTTATGTTGCTTCTTTGTGTGGACTGTGATGGTCTTTTGTGTCCGAGACATTGTGGGGTTTTTGTATTGAGAGCTCTGTACTGTTTGTCAAGAGCAGCTGAGGGTGAGTCAGGCTCTTCTTGGTGGTTGTTTATTGTTTGCCCGTTGGTGGAGAAGGAAGTGATGGTTCTCACTCAATAAGTGAAGCTGCAGGAGTTATGGGTGTAGTTGTGTTATATGGTGACTATTGCTGTCTTCCACTCAGTTAGACAAAAATAACAATTGAATAACCATCAAAAAATAAAAGCAAATGGACAAACAATACACTGTGTAACCACACAGGAACACTGACCAGGAAAAGGCAAAAGGGAAAAAGAAAAAAAAGAAAAAACCTGCAGTATATGGGGAGAGGGCAACAAGAGAAAAATGGTAGAGGAGAATAATGAAGAAAAAAATGGGAAAAATGCAAAAGAAACACAAGCAACGGGGTTAACCACAAGAAAGAAAAAAAAAAAAAAAACTTAAACCCCTAAAGGGAAAAGGAGAAAAGCTGAAAACTAGAACCTGGGAGGGGAAAAATAAAGAATAATAATTAAAAGGATAAAAGTAATAATAAAAATAATAGTTTTAAAAGAGACAAAAACAAACACTAAAAAACAGAAAAAAGAAGAAAAATATTGGGGCAAGGAGGGGCAGGGCACCCAGACTCCATCCAAGCTTGTAGACTGGTATGGAATTCTTGCCGGCTCAGAAATTCGGTGGGCGTGAAGGATGGCTGCACCTCTGTTCACCAAGAGGGTGTGGGGTATAAGAATAACAAGGGCATTGTCACACCTTTCCATTCATCCGGGTCTGGAATGTCTTGGGGTTTCTGGCAAGTGGAGCCTGTTCTTAAGTCCCTGGAATCTGGGAGAATGCTATTGCTTTAAATATCCCAAATCCTCAAGTTGCTTGTAAACTTTCAAAGTGGCTGCACCCTCTGGACAGACAGAAGTCCACAACTCAGCCTGCCTTCCTCTTCGCTGCTTTCCCTTTTATTACTCAACTGCCAGAGCCATCCTCTGTTTAGTCCCTGGCTAGCAGGGCCAATTTTTAGGTTAATTCTTAGGTCCTACCACCACTCGGCAATATCCAAGTTGTCTGTGCCGTCAGCATCACTGACAGACTGCAGCTCCATATGTCTCCTTTTCTGGTGTTTTCGTGCAGATTCTCCTGCTAGTTGGGGTTTAGTCCACTTCTATAGTCTTCCATTCAAGGCTTAGGAGTCCAGGATTATCTTCTGTATCTGTGTTAATTGTTTCCCCTTTTCTTTGTTGAAGAGGGTCTGTGCAGTCTTTCTGCCTATTCCGCCATCTTACTGGAACTCCGTGATTCTTAAATGTTGATGTTATCCTAACTTTCTTTATGTAATTTATCTAAAAGAAGTAATATTTGAAATTCTTTGATTTAGAATTTGTTTAAAACTGGTATGATTGATAAGGATTAGTAAGGACAATTTCAGTCCTTAAAAAATGCTGTAGAAATTACAAATAAGATTAGATAAAACAAGATGGATTGACACAGTGGCTGCAGTGATGGGCTGAAGCACAGCAACAATTGTGAGGATAGTGCAGGACTGGGCAGCGTTTCCTCATGTTGTGCATAGGGTTGCTATGAGTCTGAACCAGCTAGCTGACACCTAAGAACAACAACGACGACGACGACCAATCATTTTATCCAGTGAATTTTAATTTTTTTTTTTTTGTAAGAACTTTTGAGGTACGTCAGGATGTACTGATGAAGGAGATTGCCTGGAGGATAAGGGGGAGTGTTGGCCAGTGGGTAGATCTAGATTCTTTTGCCCCTCTCCGTCAACGTAGGTCCAATATTAGGGTTTAGATGTTGTTGATAAATGTTAAGATTAAGAAAAAAATAATTTTTGTGTTTAAAAATATAAGTTAATAATTATTAAGTTATATAATTAGTCATATAATTATATGATCAGTCCTGCCCTCTCATTTTAATGACAAAATGATGGAGTGCCAGAAAATTAAGTTAACTAGAACCTTGATTTCATAACTTTACTTCGGTGCTGTTCAGTTAAATCATACTGCCTCCATGTGGATTTGGGAATATTAAAAATGTCAAGCCATTTTAAATAATGGACACTCAAGACTATAAATGATTGGCTTGGATTTTGAGATCTCATTGACAGTATCGGTATTAAGACATGGCATGATATTTAAGTGACAGTGACTAGATATTGGTACTGGTTTTATGTATAATTTTTTATCTCTGAGAAATAAAAACATAATTGAAAAAAAATAAGTTTTTATAATTTTCAAAGTTTATTTAAATTCTTAAAACACGTCAGAGACCTCTTTCCTGAAGAATATGTTCTGTTTCATAGTCTCATGTGCAGTATAAGCGAAACAAAGTGATATGAACAGAAAACAGTCCTCATCTTTGAGTTTTTCCTTGGATTATTATTAAACATATTTGGTGGATATACAGCTTTTCTGTACAATGACTGTTTATAGATCTTTGTCTTTTGGGTTAGAAAATTTACTTAGTAACTGACTTCTCACTTAATGAAATTAAAACCAAGGTAATTTAAGTATCATTTCTAATAAAATCTAATGAGTGAACATTTTCATTTGTGTGTGAGACAAATACAAAACCTAAAAAATAAATTTGCATTTAGTCAGTTGTTCTGGCCTTTAGTTTTTGGCAAGATGAATTAGTTAGGATACTTTATTACTAAATTTAGAATTCTTTAGCATAAAAGACTAGAAATAAGTGATACTACTCTTCCTAATAATACCTAACGATGATACAGTAAAACAAACAAACAAACAAACAAAAAAAACCAAACTCACTGCCCTCAAGTCAATCCCGACTCATAGCCACCTCTCCTTGGGTTTCCAAGTCAGTATCTTTACAGAAGTAGATTGCCCAATCTTCCTTTGAGGAATGGCAGATGGATTTGAACCACCAGCCTTCTGGTTAGTAGTCATATGCCTTAGGTACTATGCCACCAGAGTAAAAAATGCTTTAAATTCTTCTTTTCAGAAATTTAATTAATGATCACTGAATGGATTGGCTCATAGTATCTATTTAGAACTGTTACGGCACTGAAAACTTAGTTCACATAATCTACCCCTTTTTCTAAGATACCAGTAAGTTTTTCAACTCCTAATGACTCTCTTGATAGATTTCTAAAATATGATGGGATTTGATTATTAAATCAAATTGATGCTTAATCTTATTCTCTCTCTTTTTAAAAATTATTTGCAGGAGAGGGCTCCTCACAATTTATATGGCCAACTTGGTAAGTAATTCTCCTTTTTTTAGGTTTTTCATTGTGCTTTTTGCTTTTTTATCTTTTTAAAAATCAAGGTCCCTTAAAAAAAAAAAGAGAGAGAGGAAAGCTATTTAAATTTAAGAATATTTTCTACCTCTGTTTTAATTAAAGGATAGACTTCAATGTTTAAATGAGCCTTGATACCATCTGGTTCACTCTTGCCATGTAGAACTGTTTCACTTATTTCAGGTGGAAAGTCATTTACTGCTGTTCTGCCTTAATGATTCTTTTTTATTTTTTCAAAGTTTAGCTTACATGTGCTAGGGTGCACACACACATCTTAAATTTCATTTGATACTCTGTCTCTGTTGCCATTTCTTATGGAAAAAATGATTTAAGGATGAGCATTTATGATGTGTGTTCTTCTGGACATTGAAGCAGCATTGGTTTTAGCAGCAAACACTGAGTACATTTAATCATGTAATAGCTAGGCTTCCAAATTTCAAAGATTATAGAAATAAAGTTAATGTTTTCTAGTATTTGTATATTAGTTCTGATAGTCTTGATGGTAAGTAGATAATCAGGGTTATAATTTATATTGCCAAGTTCATATTTTAAAAACATTCATTTTAAAGTCTTCATAAGTTGTTTAATAGAATTTGTAGGCAATATTAAAAAATTAAACTATGAAAAGTTAAACATTTATTACTTAAATGTAGGCTCTTGAATTCTGTGACAAAGAAGTAAAGTTTAGAGATATATTTAACAGTTCGCTTAAGTTATAACCAAAAAAAAACCAAACTCAGTGCAATCGAGTAGGATCCGACTCATAGCAGGTATCACCACGAGGCAGTCTCACTACGGAAGTAGATTGCTCTGTAGTTACCATATGCCAGTTACTATGCTAGATGCTGGTAAGCACTACAGAGATAGTCCTTGAACTCATGAAGCTTACTGTCTAGTGTAAAAGCCAATGGAGAAATCATGCCAATAATAATAATGTGTGAAAAAGACCAAAGAAAAGAATTTATAGGGTGCTGTGAGAACCAGAAGATAACACTAAACTATTCTTGAGGGGAGTTTAGGTCAGAGAAAAGTGGTTCAAACCTTTATTGAGTCCTGGGCAGAAAACTGCACATGTATAGAAAGACACTCAAATTTCCATATAATTTCAAGGTTTTCATGCACCATTGATTAAGAAAGCTTAGGGTATGCCATCAGGTAAGTAATTTTAAAATACTGCAGAAAAGTAGCTGTTCTAAGCTCTTTGATTGCAATGACTTGGGAATTTCAGGACAAGAGAGTAGAGACTAGTGAAAAGATTTCTTTTATCTTTATTCTGTTCTTTTGTCTGTTTATTTTGTTCTTACATTCTGTTGAATGTAAACTGTATAGGATCCTGGACTTTCCCTACTTTATTTGCATTATACCATGAGCACCTAAATAAGAGTCTGACATATGGTGGGCATTGAATAAGTTTTTATTGAATTGATAATCATGTTGTTGAGTACAGACATCTAGATTGACCATGATTTTACCCAATCATTTTGAAGACATTTACCTATATCTTTGTTCTCTATATATACTTTTTGGAATGTGTGGTTTTACTATTTTTTGTCTTAAGTAATCTCTCATTTTTCTTAATTGTTTTTAAGATTTTTCTTTTGGAAAATTTGTGTTTGGTGTTGTTGAGTACACTTATATTTGTTTAGTTTTTTTCAGGACTCAATTTTCTTCTTTGGTGGTTAGTTCTGGAATTAAATTCTCATCGATTCTGTCTTCAAATCTCTCATCTTTCCGTAGGGTCTGTATTCTCTTATTGTGGAACTACTTTAAGATGTGCTTTAAACCTTCTTATTTTCTTTTGTATGTCTCTTTGCTCTTTTTTTGCTACTTTTTAGATGTCTGTGTTGAATTCTGGTTAATCTCTTCAGATCTGTCTCCAGGTAACATGTCTTTATATCTTGTTAATGTGGTGCTTAACCTATCCATTGATAATTCACCTTCATTGATGACTCTATTTTTAAGAAGGTGATAAAAAATAGGTGATAAATGTAATAAAATCCAGAAAAAATTACATATTGTTTTTGTAACATTACAAAATGTAATGACCTCCAGGAGATGACCCCCAGGAGAGTAGCTGTCTGGCACACACATAGTCCAATCTCTGGACACTGGCTTTTGAGAATAAGAGAATAGCTTTATTTATGTAGCACTAGGTAAAGAGCTCACTGTCACTGAGTTGATTCCGACTCATTGTAACTCCCTTTGGGTTTCCGAGGCTGTAAATCTTTATGGAAGTAGGTGGTCCAGTCTTCCTTCTGCGTTTAGCTAGGGAGCTGGGGGGAATCTCCTTCAGGTCTGACTCCCTGAGGTAAGTGTGAGTTACAGCTTTATAAGGTTTGAATAGGGAAGTTACAGATATTCATTGAAATTCTAGGTGATCTATTGCATAGGGAGTTTTTGGGGTGATGCGGTACACGTGGAGTGGTCATACATGTTGCTCTTAGGCATCATTAGGTGCCATCGAGTTGGCTCTGATTCATAGCGACCCTGTGTTCAATAGAATGAAACACCACCAGTCCTGTGCCAGCCTCACAGTCCTTTCTATACTCGAGCCCATCATTGCAGCCACTGTGTCAATCCGTTTCGTTGAGGGCCTTCCCCTTTTTCTCTGACCCTCCGCTCTACCAAGCATGGTATCCTTCTCCAGGAAATGGTCCCTTCTGACAACATGATCAAAGTAGGTGAGACGAAGTCTGGCCATTCTTACTTCTAAGGAACATTCTGGCTGCACTTCTTCTAGGACACATCTGTTAGTTCTTCTGGCAGTCCATAGTACTTTCAGTATACTTTGCCAACACTACAGTCAAAAGCTTCAACCCTTCTTTGGTCTTCTTTATTCATTATCTGACCTTCACATGCATGTGGGGTGATTGAAAATACCGTGGCTTGGATTAGGCACACCTCAGTCTTCAAAGAGACAACTTTGCTCTTCAGTACTTTAAAGAAGTCTTTTGTGGCACATTTGCCCAGTGCAATACATTGTCTCATTTCTTGACAGCTGCTTCCATTTGTGTTGATTGTTGAACCAAGTAATATGAAATCTTTGACAACTTCAACTTTTCTTCATTTATTGTGGTGCTGCTTATTGGTAAAGTTATGTTAATTTTTCATTTTCCTTATGTTGAGGTAATCCATACTGCACACTGTGGTCTTTGATCTTCATCAATAAGTGCTTCAAGTCACCTTCACTTTCAGCAAGCAAAGTTGTGTTGTCTGCATATCACAGGTTGTTAATGAGTCTTCTCCAATTCTGATGCTGCATTCTTCTTCATATAGTTTAGCTTCTTGGATTATTTGCTCAGCATACAGATTGAACAAGTGGTCATGCATAGCATGTTCTAAAAATGGCAACCTTAGCATAATTGGTGGGGGATTTTTTGCAGGGGTTACATCAGTAGGTCATCTCAGGACAAGGCTGGACTCTTAGGCGTGCTCCATGGGCCAAATCTAGTAGGAACCTGTGTACACTTGTCTCGTGTTTGCAGCTGCTGGTTTCTGAAAAATAAGTTAAAGTTTCAGTTGCAGTGAAAAGTTACTAATTGTAGGAGCTATGGTGGCATGAGGAGCTCTGGTAGTGTAGTGCCTAAGGCACTTGACTGCTAACCGGAAGGTTGGTGGTTCAAACCCACCAGCCATTCCTCGGAAAGAAGGGCTTGAGCAATCTACTTCTGTAGTGATACTGTCTCGGAAACCCAAGGAGGGGTCACTGTGAGTTGGGTCCTACTCAATGACGCATAACAACAACAACAACAACATGGTGGCATGAGCCATAAGTACATGGTCTGCTCAGCAGGAGCTGTGGGTGCATGGGCCAGGTAACGTTTTTGTTAAATAATTATCTGAAATACATCTTTAATACTTTTCCCATATTTTTCTGGTTACAGAAACTTAGATCATCTTTCCTTTTCATTTTTGTTTTTTTTTTAACCAAGATCTATCTGACATCAGCAGTGGCATCCCTTGTCTCACATTCTCTTCTGAATCTGGCTTGATTTCTGGCATTTCTCTGTCAATGTACTGTTTTTTAATTTTCTTCAGCAAAACTTTACTTTCGTGTGATATTACTGGTATTTTTTGATAATGTCTGCATATCACTAGAATACCTTTCTTTGGAATGGGCACAAGTATGGATCTCTTCTAGTCAATTGATCAGGTAGCTAGCTATCTTCTAAATTTCTTGGCATAGACAAATGAGTGCTTCCAGCATTACATCCATTTGTTGAAACATCTCAATTTATATTCCATCAACTGCTAAAGCCTTGTTTTTCACCAATGCCTTTAGTGCATCCTAGAGTTCTTCCTTCAATACAATTGGTGCTTAATCATACACTACCTCCTAAAATACTGAATGTCAACCAATTCTTTTTGGTACAGTGACTCTGTATTCCTTCCATCTTTTTTTTGAT